GGGGGACACTTCGTCCAGTGTCTGCTCCCAGGATCGAGAACACGAGCTGCAACAGCTACGGCAAGAGTGAGGAACACCGAGGATGAGTTTAGTCCCTCCAAAAACGACCCTACCACTCGGGGCCGTAAGCCCCTACCAGTACGAAAGGTTACTGAAGGGTACCAAGATGGTCCTGGATCATCCTTGAGCGAAGAGAGCCCTAGAAACCAGAAGGTCTTCCCAAGTTGAGGGCACACCGCAATCGCTGTACACAATGGCTATCACAAGGCTGTTGGGCCTTCCGGTGCTTGCGTCATGCTTTCGATAGTCGTCGAAGGCTCCATGACAACGGGGGCACCACCGGCCTTCGCACAAGTGTACCTGCGCGCGTGCAAGGCAGGGCAGGGCAGGGCAGGGGCAAATAGATAGTCTAGTATCTATATCATACTATATCATACTACAGTATACTATAGTAACATATATATATATATATATATCGTAGTACATTGGAGTGTATGATAGGGGACGAAACTTCGTTTCTTTGTCTGAGGCGCTTGGAGCGAGCCCAGCGTCCGCCCTCGGAGAATTCGAAGTGGAAGCCAGAGAGCAGTGCATCAGCGCCACAGTCCACTTGGATCATCCGCCTCAGAAACGAGACAAGTCTCAGCCTGCTCATAGAAAGGGCATTCTAGTAGGGTTTAGGGGTTTAGGGTTTAGGGCTTTGGGCTTCTATCCTATTCTATTCTGTTGTAGTATGCTGTAATATCATTGAACAGACTCCGAGCTGCAGTGCGCCGATGAAGTTTGCCCTCTTCTGGTCAAACTTCTTCACTTCCACTTGGGCACTGAAGTACTCGAAGGTCTGGCCCAATCCTCCGATACGGCTGCACTCGTACCTCAGCGAAACCGCTACTCTTTGTTTTTTTTTTGTTTCTGGGGGTTACCGTATCGGATCCTAAATATATACATGGCTTAACCAAGTAAGGCACTACGATGGAGACTTTCGGCTCTTCTTGCTTCCTATCCTCTATGAGACTTAAATACCTACCATTCGGGGCCAGATTTCCTCGTAGCTGCACGGTACTTAAACTAACTACGGCCCTCCCCCAATAAGCCCTATAAACCCTAAACCCTTCTTCGCTTGAACCCGAAACCCCAAATTCCTGAAGCAAGCTGCCGGAAGATCTTGCGTGCAGGTAAGAGCTTGAAGCCGGTGAGAGCTTCGCCGTCTGGGCATAGAACCGGCGCATCGGCCAGCAGCCTGGGCTCCCGTTTAGGGCTTCAGGTTTAGGGTTTAGGGTTTAGGGTAGCTTACCATAGTAGGATCTATAGTGCATGATAGGGTCTCCTTAGGATTCCTTATAACTATGGGAACTTCATGTCTGCTTTGGGAAGTTAAAAATCCTTCCCATGGGAACTGGATTTCCTTTACTGTGGCCACGTAAGTTGCTTGTGATGGGACTTCATTCACGGAACCATAATAGGGTTTAGGGTTTAGGGTTTAGGGTTTATAGGGATCTATAGCAACTAGAAGGGCTTCCTTGTTACAGGCATGGACTCTCTGAGTCCCAAACAGGCTGTCTGTGAGCCCCAGATGGGTCTAAAACCCTAGGAGTAACGTAGTATAGTGTCGTAGAGTAGAGTATAGAACCCCTAAACCCTAAACCTCTAAACCCTGAACCCTAAACCCCAAACCCCAAACCCCTAAACCGCTAAACCCCTAAACCCTAAACCTAAAACCGCTATGGAGAACCCAGGAGCGTGTTCCACTCGGGCCAGTCCGTGCTTCGCTTGTCGTAGGTGATCGTCGTGTCCAAGAACTCTCCTGGGTCCCGGGGTCTGATAGTTTAGGGTTTCGGGTTTAGGGGTTTAGGTGTTTAGGGATTTAGGTGCTTAGGGGTTTAGGTGTTTAGGGATTTAGGGTTTATAGGTGTTTAGGGGTTTAGGGTTTAGGGGTTTAGGGTTTAGGTGTGTAGGGGTTTAGGGTTTTGGGTTTTTAGGGTTTAGGTGTTTAGGGGTTTAGGGATTTAGGTGTTTAGGGTTTAGGTGTTTCGGGGTTTAGCGTTTAGGGTTTAGGGGTTTAGGGTCTAGGGATTTAGGTGCTTAGGGGTTTA